TTTAAGCAAAAAAGTGAATAACTTTTCAAAATACCTTTTAAATCAAGAGCTTACCAAAATATCTATATGTGTATATCAATCTGCTTGCTGCCAAAATATGAATACACTTATTAAAAATTGTAATGGTCCATCTTATTTACTGCTGGGTATGTTGGTGACTTTTCTAGGAAAATAGCAATTTATTAATAGTTAGTAGGTAATAGGGAAAATGATCAACAGAAGAAACATTGTTTACTTGATGTTTACCAGAAGAAGACATTCAGGAGCTCAATAGTGACTGTAACTCATGTAATTGAATTTGAGATAAAAAGGTTAATTGGAATAGAATTTTAATAATTTGGCCTACTGAAAGGACCACAGTGCAACTCTTGGTATTCCTTTGGTAGTGCTTAAACAGCCTAGAAGAATTCACTGCTTCCCCATAGCTGACCTCAGACATTATCGAATGTCTGTTGCAGAGTCTCCATCATTTGTAAACTTTGTACCTTGGCTCTACTTGAATTACAGAACCACATTGCAGCATATCTTATGCAGTGTCCTTTTTTAAAAAAATAATTTTCTCAGGCTGCAACAACAGAGTCTACGGAATACTTACACCTCAAAGATAAAAATAAACCTGATAAAAATCTGCCCATCCTGAACAGTGTTGATGATATGGATTCAAAACTGAAAGGAGTTGGAAAGCCAAGAAGGTTCTCCAAGTTTGCCCTCTACAGGCAGCTCTATAAGCACCACCTGCGTGACGCGGATAGCATCAGCAGCATTGAAAGCACCTCCAGTAAGTCGTGGTCTTTGCCAGAATTTACCTCAGCTACACTCTACTCCTCCATAGCCAGACACTATATACGTGGTTTTAAAATCTCTTTTTCTACAACGGAGTAGAATGAGCAATGTCGAAAGGTCGCCGTATCATCCTATTCAATATCATGCCATTTATGGCTTTGTTTGCCTCATTTTAGAACAGATTTATTGTTTTATTCACACAAAACAGTCATAACAAGCACAATTCATGCTTCTGATGGTAGAATGACTAAGGGTTTCTAAAATACGCCAAGCTGTAAAGGAAAAAGAAAGGTATTAGATGTACTTTATAAACTTTTCTTAGAAGAAATTTCATTTCTCTTCCCATCCAGAAATACATCAAGCTTATATCATCAAACATAAGATTTTCTACATCTTATAAATTTACCAGTCTTTTAAAATATGTCTTAAAGCTCTGCAACTTTCTGTGGCACAGAATGTTATGACTGATTTTATAGCCCTGCCTTGGTTGTAAAAATGATCAACCTTGCTTTTCAGTTTAGAAAACTTGTTTTATATATATATATATGCATAAATGTATATATTTCTTGGTAAAAAAAAAAGAACTTCTCAATTTCTCCAGGTTATTTTAATCACTATAGAAGTCATCAGAATTTAATCCATGGTTTAAAACCCCACTTCAAACTC